CAGGTCCTTGAGCTCGTCGCCCTCTGAAGGTCCCGCTGGCGACCGCATGAAAAGCCCGAGGTAGGAAATGTCAAACAGCCACTGGACAAGCAGGTCCCGCCGTTGGTCTAGCTGTTTCGCCTTCTCGTCATTTGCCTCTTCATCTGGCTTTTGCTTCGTCTCGGCTTCGGCCTCGGCCTCGTCAGCCTCATCGTCATCTGGCTTCTCCTCCCCTTCGTCTACCTCCCCTTCGTCTACCTCCCCTTCGTCTACCTCCCCTTCGTCTACCTCCCCTTCGTCTACCTCCCCTTTCTCCTCCTCACCCACGAGCGCGTCGTTAGACAAGGATCCCACGGCCTCCCGCCAGAGCTCAGAGAGCCGCTGGCGTAGATGCCGCCTCAGACCATCAACCGCGACCGGGCTCCAGAGATCCCCGCCCGCGTCGCCCATGGAGACCGACAGGTCACGCAGAAATCGAAAGATGCCCGGCGAGGGCGATGTGGGCAGCGCCGGGACGCCCTCCCAGAGGCTCTTTCCGATGACGGTCCGCCGGGCCAGCGCCACTGTCGCCAGCTCGTCAAGCGGGGCGACGACCACCGTCGACGCCAGCGCCTCGTGCAGGAACGGCACAGCTGCCAAGCCGAATGTCTTGACCGCCTCGAGCTCTGGCAGTCTCCCCCGGATGTCTCTCAGCAGACGCAGGAAGTACATGGCTATGGGGCCCTTGTTGGGCCCCTCCCTGTGCGCAGCCCAGAGCGAAGCCAGGTGCGCGTCGAGATTGCCGAATGCCTTGACGAGCGAGAGGTTGAGGTGGTCGTGGAGCTTCTGCGGATCCTCCTTGGCGAGAAGCTTCTGGCGGTGCTCGATGGTCTCCTCGTCCTCGATCTCGTCGACATCGTTGTCCCACCGCTGGCGCTTGAGCTGGTCGACGACCTGCCCGACATCGTCAATCACATGGTGCCACGACTTGTAGCTGGCGACGGCTTTCGAAACGGCATCATTCCTGCCGTAGAGCCGCGCGACCACGTCTTGCGTGAACTGGGCCGCGCCGCCCGCGAGCTCCATGTCGAACGAGCCGTCGTCCCACAAGCCGAGGTGCCTGTCAGTGGTGCCCTCGCGCCAGGCATCGAGCGCGGCCGAGGCTTCCGAGCCCACGAGCCGGAGCTTGTTGACCTTTGCCTCGAGAACCTGCAGCATGTGGCCGTTGACGACGGCGCGGATGCGGTCGAGCATGACAGACGCATCGAAGCCCCGGACCTTGCCGCCCTCGGCGATCCACAGCTTCAATACGCTGGTGCGCATTTCCACGATGGCCTTGAACTCGACCATGCCCTCCAACGTTTTCTCCAGACCGCTCAAGAACACCTCCCCCCCGTCCTTCGCCCAGCTCGTCAGCATCTCCCTCGCCTGCCTCCCATCCAGATCGTCATGACGGATAAACGGCGTGAAATAGCGAATCTCGTCCCCGCACCACCGCTCATACACATCCAACCTCAACCCCTCCATCCTCCTCAGCGACTCATCAGCCAGCAGCGTATCCTTCTTCAACGCCAGCAGCGCCTCGGGGAGCCGATGCGGCACCAGCGCCTGCACGTCCTGCAGCGTCTGGGTATACAGCCCCAAGCACCGCAGCGCATCCTTAGGCGCGGCCCGCCGCTCCGGGCCCCCGTCCTGCGCCACCTCAGTCGCTAGCGCCATCGCCTCGGCTCTGACCCTTAGGAAGTGCCGCAGCACGTCCTGCGCGCCCGAGTTGGTCGGCAGACTATACGCACTCAGCGCCCTGAGCACATCATCGCCCCGCCTGCCTCCCGCCCCGACATGCGCCAGCACGCTCTTAACGCCCAGCAACAACCTCCGCCGAAGCGCATCCAAACTCCGCTCCGCTGCCCTCGCCGCGCCCCCGCCAGCGCTCTTGACAAGCAACCGGCCCAGCACGCACAGCTTAGCCGCAACAACCAACCGATCCCCCCTCGCCAAGCCCCCCTTATCCCCGTCCCCGCGGCGAAGCACCGTGCCCGCAGCAAGCAGACACGCCTCCAGAAGCCTGGCCCGCGCGCGCGCGCCCATCTCGGCGTCGGCGGCCTCGCGCTCGTGTACGAACCGGCCCAGCCCGGCGACCTTGCCGCCGACGACGGCGCGCCCGCACCGCGCGCCCATGCGCCCCAGCGTGCCCTGCACCGCTTCCATGTCGACGCGCATGCGCACGATGGTGTCGGCCGTCCCCAGCAGGTCGCGGTACGACCCGCCCACCTGCGTGCGTAGCCGCGCCGCCTTGTCGTCGATCTCGGCGTGCAGCGCCTTGTGGATCGCGCGGATCTGCGGCAGCGAGTGGTTGGCCGAGAAGATCTGGGCTGACGAGGTCAGGCTTGCCAGGTCGGGCGTGGCCATTTTTTATTTTTTTTATTGGTGGTGGTAGTGGTGGTGGTGGTGGGCGGTCCGTTTTGTCTTGTCTGTTTCGGTGGGACAGATAGAGTGGCTGCCGACTCGCTGACCGACGACGTCGTCGGATTGCAATTGGAAAGAAAGAGTGGGAGAAACCGCGCCAGGAACGGGAAGCACAGATGATTTGAATAGGGAACAGCAAAATGACTATATTAAATGCTCCATTGGTGTCGACGAGACATGCAGACAGGCAGGCGGGCAGACCACGTCAAGGTTGGGAGGTGAGGTGTGGCGGTGGTGGTGGTGGTGGTTGGATAGAGTCGGGTATCGACAGCTAGCTGGATGCACCTTGATGAATTGGAGGTCGTTTTGGTCCCTGCTCGACGGGACGGGATGTGAATCCGACCAACCCTAACCCTTTCTTCACAACCTACCCCGGCCTGCCAGGACTACAGACATTCTGCAAAACGGCTGCCCCGACTTCTCATCGTGGATTAGAAAACATACTCAGACACAAAGTTGATTACAGGCGACCTATCAAAGGAAGAGAGAGGTCTCTCTATGGAAGACATGAACGCTTATGTTTCGTCCCTGATTTAGACAAGGCGCTCCCGAGTTCCGGACAAGGGGACCTGCACTGGCGACCAACATGGAATTACTCATCATCACCGTCTCCCGCGCCTGGCTTTCAGTTCCTCCGCCGAACGTCAGAGATGCCCCGCCCCCGCTCCCCGCTCCCGCGTCCGCCGAGGTCGAATTGCAGAATCCATGGCGAATGGCAATTGGCAACTCCAACAAACAGAGCAGAGCTGACAAATCCCGTATTTTATCTTGGGCTGTCTCTGTCTTGCAGGTTCCTTGCCTGCTACACCTTACCTTGAGCGAGTCTTAATCAGTCTTGGATTTCGCTTTTGTTTTGTTTGAGATTGCTCCCCCGTCGAGCCCCATCATCCACCTACCTTATCTAGTGCAGTACAGTACAGTGCCAGGCTTTGCAGTGTACATCCATCCACAACAACACAACACCCAGCCACAATGCCGATCCCGGACCTCCCGGTCCTCGAGCACGACGAGGACTCGATGCTGTCGCGCAAGTTTGGCCGCGAGGTCGCAAACTACCTGTCGGGGAGCCCACTCAACCGGCTCTCGTTCCTGCGCACCGAGCACGCCTTCCTCCAGTCGGCCTTCTCTCACCCCTCGGCCGCGTTCCTGCTCATGAACAACCTCGGCCCGCTGACCAAGGATGACCCGACCCATCTCGCCTTTGCCACCAACGCCGACGTTGTCCCGCTGACCGGCGCGAGCCCCTTCGCCAAGACGGAAGCCGACCTGATCAGCGACTACGACTCCCGCGAGACCCACCCCGTCATCCTCTTCCTTGGCCTCGACGACAAGCACCGCCTGCCGTCCCACGACGCCGCCGCGGGCGCAGAGCCCTTCTCCTACCGGACCTACAAGGGCATCCCGTACTTCGCCGTCGATGTCACCGCCCGCGGCGTGAATGCCGAGGCCGCCAACGCCCTGATCGCCGCCATGAAGGCCAAGGGCTTCACGTTCCAGGACTCGTCCCCGCGGCACATGGCGCTGCACGCCGGCCAAGGTAAGCTGCATCTCGGACCACCCCTATCCCGATCCAGACCGACAGCCAGAGCTGACACCGCCGCCACCCACCACAGCCGCAATGTACGGCCAAGCCCGGGCCCTGCTCGACTGGAACGCGCGCAACCCCTTCTGCGCGCAATGCGGGCAGCCGACGCTGTCCGTGCACGCCGGCACCAAGCGCGTGTGCCCCCCGACCGACAAGGCCAGCGGGACGGTGCAGCCGCGGCTGCCCTGCGCGACGCGCGGGACCGTCTCCAACCTCAGCTTCCCGCGCACCGACCCGACTGTGATCATGGCGGTGGTCAGCGCCGACGGCACAAAGATCCTGCTCGGGCGGCAGAAGCGCTGGCCCAAGGACTGGTACTCCACACTCGCGGGATTCCAGGAGCCGGGCGAGTCGATTGAGGAGGCGGTGCGCCGCGAGGTGTGGGAGGAGAGCGGCGTGACCGTCGGCCGCGTCGTGCTGCACAGCTCCCAGCCGTGGCCCTTCCCGGCCAGCCTGATGATCGGCGCCGTCGCCCAGGCCCTGCCCGGCGACGGCGAGACCATCTTCCTCGGCAATGACGCCGAGCTCGAGAGCGCAAAGTGGTTCCCCCTCGCCGAGGTCGAGGAGGCCCTGGTCAAGGGCGTGAGCAACCTGGGTGAGAAGGCGCCCGAGGGCCACGTCGACGGCGCGTTGCGACTGCCGCCCCAGACGGCCATCGCGAACCGGCTGATCACGGCCGTCGTGGAGGGGTGGGGGTCGGCCCCCAAGATTTGAGTATTTTCCAGGTTGTTGTTGTTCCTGTTGTTGTCTTGGTAGCGAGAAGCGTGCGGCAAAGGTACCCGGTATAGACGGATAGAATAGAGACGCGGATGAGAGTTGAAACTGCCATCGTTGAACAAATCGGTTCCTACCTTCCTGACTTACACTCGCACCTGCCCTACAGGTTTCTGGAGTAAGGTTCCTAGCCGGTGTTGGACAGGAGCCTGCCTGTGCTGCTCGGATCATACACACCGGAATAAAGCAACGCTCCCCCCAAAAGCGTCACGCATCTGCTCGATTAGTGTAGCGGCCATCACTTCGGATTCTGAGAACTTCTCGAGCTTCCGACAACCCTGGTTCGATTCCAGGATCGAGCTTAGGGTTATGATTCTTTTGCTATCATCCTTGTTTCTTTTTGCTGAATTTTGGCTGGTGCTCTTGTTGCCATGTTGTCTGAGGCAGGAAGGAAGCACAGGCAGCTCATGACACGTCAAAGCAACGTGGACCATGAAAGTTTTTTTTTTTCTTTTCTTTTCTTTCTGCCGAGGCGAACATTCGGGAGCTAGGTAGGGGGGCATCTTTATCGAGGCAGCGATAGCCAGCCAGAAAACAGCATTCAACGGAAGTAGAACAGCAACCCAAAATTGAAGTTACGGAATGCTGCTGTCCAAAGTCCAAACACCAAATCATCGACTTTCACGATGGAGAAAGAGGTGGACACTTGGATAGCAAACCCACAATTGCCAGGGGCGAAGTGAAGTGAGTTTCCAGGGTTTTTGCCAAAAGGTGGATACAGTTCCACCTCGTCCCAAATCGAAAAAAACGAAGTAAAAAAAAACGCTAGCCCCACCCAAGCCTAGCCCCACCACCCGCAATCCAGAAACCGCCCGCCCATAAAAACCCCTTCGCCCGCCCTCCATTCTCCTCCCTCTTCTTTTCTTTTCTTCATCAAGTCAACGGCCTAGTCCTCTTCACACCGCCACGTGAGGAGGGGACCGGGCCCGCGACGTGAAGGCTTCGCTACGGCGACTCGCTGAGGGTTTCTCGCTTTTTTCCCCCCTCCGGGGGAAAGGTGCTCCATGGGTCCCCCTCCGTTCCCGGCCTCCTAAATCAACGTGCATCACCTCTCCCTTCTAAACTATCGGCATGGACGGCGTCTCTTCGAGGTCCATGGCGGTGGGGTGGTAACGACATCTCTCTCGCATAACCTGAACTTTTTAATGATTTGTTTCGGTGAACTTTTGTGGGGGTTTGGAAGGCGTCCGACGCCTGATTGACTGGCGTATTCTGCTGAGCTCTCATGTCTCTGCGACGTTTGTGTCTCTGGCCGAGACTGCTTTGCTGGACTATCGCTTTCTTGCGTCCCATGCATACCTGGGTCTATGCGCTTGTCGTCCATCCGCTGCGACATCTTGACCGGTCCAAAAACTACGGTATTTGCCTTGATACGGGGCCCGCGTTCTTGCCGGCAGTCAAGCGCGATGTGCTTGATGGCGTCGGGTCGCATGTTCCCATCCAGATTGTGGCCTTGGATTGGCGGTATAGAATACTGCTTTTTCTCACCAAAGGAACTCTACATCTGAAACCAGCCAGGTTCCTTGCAACTCAGTTGGAAAGTACGTAATAAAATAACACTGGTCGACCCAGGCGATACCGTCCTTGGACGTCCATATACTGCCTATCTTACCTTATGTGTATATGGTACCTATGTATGCGAATGCCGTTCTTTTAGTAGTTGAATGACATGCGATGCAACAATTCCAAGCAGCGTCTACTGGCACACCACTTTCAAGTACATAGACAGAGCACCTCGTGAACCATGTCACATGACCCCGAGCACAAACAACGAGGCAAAATGGGAGCAACCAGTAGTATTCATTGAACTATGACTGTTGTCTATGCCCCTAGGGATGAGCGTGGAATGCTAACAAAAGCTTCCATATCTTATCCCATTTAGAAGATGCGGTGGGGAGGTCCCATGGTAGCCTTGATGGTCAAGCTACCAACGTTCTGCCAGCCCTTCTTCAGGAGAGAGACCAGGTAGTTGATGGCCAACATGATGTTGGCGACGAGCTCCTCGGAGGTCATGCCGACGTTTCCGACGGCAATACCCATGCAGAGGACCTTCTTCAGCTGGAACTTGATGGTCGACTTGACCTCGTTGAGCTTGCCAGTCAGGTCATCGGCGTGCGAGACGGGGGTGGGGAACTTGCCGGCTAGAGGCTTTGTTAGCAACCATGGATCGTTGCAAGCAGCAACGTGACGGGAGAGGAGAGGGGAAGCACGTACCCTTGGACAGACCGGGTCCGAGAAGACGGGGGATCTGCTTGATCAGGGTGTCGGAGGCGACGAAGGCATCGTACTTGCGAGCAAGCTTCTTGATGAGCTTCTTGTTCTTGTTGAGCTTCTTCAGGTCGTCGGAGCTCATGGAGTCGACACCGCCGTGCTTGGCACGATCGATATCGTGCTGGTCACCGAGGATGCACACGCTCATGTTGGGGCGGGGGATGGTGGGCAGACGGATGGTGCCCGAGAAACCTGCAAACGGGGGCGGTCAGTCAGTTTTTTGCTCGCGACCCATCGCTATCTATCTCGCTGTGGTTTCCCGGTGGTTGGTTGTACGTACGCTTGTCACGCTGGGGATCATAGTTCTTGAGTCCGATCTGGAGCTCGACGGTCTCCAAGAAGTTGCGCTTCTTGGTCTCGGTGCTGTACTCGAGGAGATCGGTGCAGTGCTGACGCACACCGGCTGTAGCAAAATCGTGTCAGTCGACAGTCAATTCCATCAAGTCGCCATCAGAACCATTCAGCACTCACCGACGGAGATCTTTGACATTTTGACCGTCTTCCAATAGAATCACTTCTTTTGGTATGGTATGTTGCGTCTTTGCTGAGGTTTTGCGATGTTCAGGACAGGATTTGGGATTCGCCCGAAATTTTGTGTGCCGTCTGCTGCCGCCGCGGGGTGGATTTGCCGCTCGGGCCACCCTGCCCTGGGCGGGATGGCAAAGCGCTAGGCAAAAGTCAAACCCGTCAGAGTGCCCGTGCACGGTTGCAGTTGCCAGGCAGCAGTCATCCAAGAAGGTTGCCGTGGGCCGTGGAGGAACTTAAAAATTGAGATTGACTTCTTGCGCACTTCACGTTTCACGTCTTGTGATTGAACCGAAAACCGAATTGATCCGTTTCCCAGCTGGACTTCTCCCCTCTTTCCCAGTATCCCCGTACGATTGCTGTTTTGCACAAGGTCCATTTCATTTTCTTGTAAACATTGAACAGCCGTTGTGTCAATCCTCGGTATAATTCGTCTATGGGGGCGCCCCTTAGGTCCCAACGGCATGGGATTCCTACCCGGTACCCAAGCGAGTTCATGTGACGGGATACCACAGAGCCCTTTGGTCTCGACCATGCCGGAAATAAAAGACCTTGGTAGTCCTGTAGGACAGGCAACTAGGATGTGCGTCACCTCCATAGATCTCGCGTTATCGTTCGGTGATGCTCGGGAAGCGTAATGGCAGAGGCATGCAGAGCTACCGGTCATGTGAGAAACTGTCCCAGTACGCTGCCATTACACATCAGCTATCTTATCTTATTGCCGTTTCCATTGGCCATTGGCCATTGGCCATTGGCCGCTGGCGGAAGATATTCATGTCGGTTTGCCTTGCCATGTCATGGTGATGATACCCATCCCTTGTCGCTTCGACTTGAGGGGGCGTGGGCGGGCACTTATGGGGTGGAACCATTGGCCACGGATGTCTGCTGGATCCTGCCGCGCGCCTCATGGCCTTCCGGAGTTCCACGGCATCGAGACACGCGAGATAGATGAAGCAGGGACGGACGTATGTATGATGTATGCGCGTAGGGTTCGGTGGCAGAAGATACCAGATAGGTCGGGTAGGAGACCCGCCCCCACGCGTTCACAGAAGCGGACATACACACACATCAAAAGCGGCGACTGAGATACTGAGGGGATGCTGCGGAAACGGATCTCAGTATCAACGCCTATCCCACGAGCTTACAGTAACCAAATCAACTTGGGGGCCCTAAACTACTGGTCTTCTAGCTTATTCAACACTCCTGTTATTACTTTCCCCTATACCTGGTGGCTGGACACTCGCACTGCTTTCACCCCCAACTCGTCACACCAAACTCCCTTTTACCACTTGCCACTAAGCCATTAATCCACGTCATAGGTTCAAGCTCCTATCTCGCCGTGCCATTCCTGAAGTTTTCCGTTGAAGAGTGAAGTAGAAAAAAACCGGTAACATGAAATATAACAGCAATTCAATTGGTCCCCTCAATACCGCCTCGAACGCAATGACACAGACAACAAGGGGCAACTGGCTCCCATCAAAGGGCTGAGCCCTCGGCGGCTTAGTCTCCATTGATGCTGGTTTGTCTGTTCATTTGCCATAGCCTTGAACCATAGAAGGGCTTTACGTTAGTACGAAGATAAAAGAAGACTGTGAAGAGATGCCACAAGGATAAGAGCGTAAAGGGTAAGCTGCGTGGCTATAGACTTGACTTACGTGGGTCGATTGGTACATTCGGGGTTTGGGACTCAGAGCCACGCGGCTCCTTCACATTGACGTCGGGGAAACTCTTGGCTTCCTCCATGGTCCTTTGTGTCTCTTGGTACGCCGAAGTTGTCTCGATGTGTAATGGAGCAAGGAACAAGATCGAGTATATGTTGTTGATGGCCCAACACACGCTCTCTTTCTTTGACTCTGCTTGATAGCGTTTGTTGGCTGAAAGCTCAAGAAGCTCAGTTCTCACAGAAGTTGAAGCTCGACCAGGCAGAGGTGAGAATAGGGGCGGCTGATGGCAACTGATTTCAGAGTTCGCAGTCTTTTGGATAAACAAGAAGGTTCTGAGTTCCTTCTTATAGACACACACATCTCAGAGACTAACGAGGACCGCACCGTCAAAGTTAACAGGTCTTTGCCTGCCGCTCTGCCATCATCACACACTGAGGCAACAGTACTTCGTTGATGAATGTTCTGCTTCACCCGCGTGGTTGGACGAGAAGCTCCCCGCATGAGACCACGAACTGCTCGTTGCAGCTCACACGATCTGTCCCTGAGGCTTTGCTCTGGAGAGAGTGAGGTTCGTTGCTGCGTCCCGAACTAAAAGATGTTGATAGTCACACCGTGTGACCTCTTGCTGTCACAACTGGACGAGAGGACGACCCGAGAAACCACACTGCGGTTGCCCGTGATATTGAACGAAGCTTACTGGCACAAGATCCCGTCTTCGGACAACCACCGATGTCCACCGGGTACTGGCAGCCGCTTGGTGTTGTCCATACCTTAAGCAACTCGTCTCCTTCCGGGCTACTATAGCCGCTGGTCCTGCTTGGCGGACAACCCGTGTGCGTACA